ACTCTCCTGGTGAGAAAAAATAATGAATCTATCCCCCTCTTCTCCCTCGAATAGCTCTGTCCTAATAACCTTAGGGGGAGATGAACAGTGCTTCTCAATCATCAATCAAAAAGAACTAAGAAGAAATCTCTTGAAAGAGAGGAATGCCTTCAGGGACTCGGACACAAGTGGTGTATGATTGTCGTCAGCTCATGTCGTAAGGTGTTGGGTTAAGTCCCGCAAAAAGATCTTGTTAGCTAAACTGTCTCCCCAATATTTCTATCAATTATTGGAAAAAGATCTTTATCCACAGTTACTAACATTTATCCATTGACTGTCACTAATTAAAAACTGAACATGAAACTTTGATTTCATTTGCCTCCTTTATCGAAGATGCCATCTGTCATAGGCTTGCTGACTAGCAAATCTCTGGGATTAGGATCAGACCATCTTTAAACTCTTTGGACCATCAGCCGTCTCTCACTTCCTGGTCCAGACGAATCCACCTAGATAGATCCTTGCCAACACTACCACCTGAATTTGGTATGCAATGAAAATGTGAGGGCAAAAGCAATCTACTATCCCTTGGTAAGCTTGAACGTTCTATCTTCAACTTAAATATTCTATAAATAAGTGTGTTGTATATTAGCGTAGTTGCCACTTGTCAATGTTATTTATCTTATTCAACTCTTGTCGTTGACAATATTTTGAAAATCGACCCAGACATCGACCCGAAAAAGACAAAGGGCCAAAGTCAAAAGGTCGAATAGAATTGAACCAGGGTTGAAATGCTTATAATAGATTAAAAAACAAATATACCACAAAAATAAGAGAAAAATAATTTATTTATTTTTTTAATATATGTAGTAAAAAGATATTTAAACTTGACCACATTAATTTTCATTATATTCACGTTTAATCTATAATATGTTAAATATCACAAAGAATCATTTTTTAGATGATTCAAATTCTATTACAATTCAATTATTTCAATAATACATTACTTTTTTTTTTCAATATGTATTTGACATTCAAATATGCATTTCACTATTTACGTGCATGTATAATAATTAACATTTATTTTTTAAGGATTAGCATTTCTCTCATACTTAGATCAAAATGATGCAAATTAATTATAGTTTATATGTTTTGGGGCTATTCAATTACTCTAGGAGTAAATAAGTTATTCAAATTCATGTACACTAATTTATTTTCAAGATTATTCATTTAATATATGATATGAATTTATTCTTTAAATTCACGTATACACCCTTTTATCTAAATTAGTTTTCGAGATCACATGTATATAAATTATTACTTTTCTATATTCATTAATTCAAATTAATTAAGTTCCATGTTTATGAATGTATTTGATTGTTCTCACAGGTATTAGATATAAACAAATTGATCTCTCAACCATTTGATTTGTTTTCACAAATTTGAGTTATTTCATTTTAATAATCAAATGTTTTGTTCTCCCCCATCATGGAATCAAAGGCTATAAGAAGCTTATCAGCGTATGAAAATGAATAGTTCATTAAAGTGACAGTAGTTCAAAAGGGTTTGGTCGAATCTTATTCCAACAATGCTGGGAAATTTGGTATTTCGAGGCACATCCTAATTGATAAAGAAGTAATACGTCTACAATGATAACTATTTATTTTGTAATTACATAAAAAATGTCATTAAATTTAATCTTAATATTCAGTTATTAATTTTTTTTCTATCCATCGTCTTCAAACTTGAGATAAAACAATTCATGAAATTTTTTCAGTATGAATGCATGCGGACACCAAATCTCAATTAAATGCCTAAAGTTATATGACAACTACAAATATTTCATTTAAATCAAATACCCCTAATCACACCAAAAAAATGTAGCGTATAAAGAGATTTTCATTAAATAAAATGTTCATTCACATAAACAATTTTTCTAATCTTTTTTCTATTCGCATATTTTCAAATATGACTTTTATCGCACTTATAAAGTATTTTAGAAGAACGTGCAATGCATGTTTACCTGCAACTAGTATCAACAAAAAAAAAAAATAGTTATAGCTAAAGTTTCAACATATTATTTATATAGCATTTTAGCCTAAGTTTTGGTTTCATTTTTTATTAAAAACTTAGAAGTTACTTTTCAAAATCAAAATTTAGCTCTTGTTTGTTTTGGGAGCTTGAAATTTTTACACAATTTGGAGCGATAAAGAATAATTGATGATTATTCTATCGCACTGAACTTGCAGAAAAACTGGAGCTCGAATGAAGGCACTTGCACTGGATTTTGAGAAAAACTGGACAATTGATTCTTCATTTGGGATTTTGTTTTTGTGGTATGATTCTAAGGCCTTGGTTT